CATCATTATTATTATAATTAATATTAATATTAGTTTTATATTAGTTATCATCATGATTATCAATAGAATTAGTTGTTAGTAGTATGGTATGTTCAGTATCATCATCATCTTTATCATTATCATCATAATCATTATGATCATCATTATCATTATCGTCATCATTATCATAATTAAGATAATGATAATAACTAAAGGCACTCAGAGAGCACATTCCTCCGTCAAGGCAACAGAGTCACTGATACAATAAAAATATTCATTTGAAAAATTACATTAGAATTACCTTTTTCAGGTACGCTGGTGATTTCCTTGTTTCTGTAACTATGCTAATGTATCCTTTAAAAAGAATTCTGGATCCAGATCACCACTAAAATTTTATGACATCTTAGTTAGGCTAAGAGACACCTATAGTAAGAATTCCATTCAAGGAAACTTCTCTGCCTGGCTAAGTAAAACATAAACTAATTTAATGCCAATGAATAGACGCATAATAATAACAACCAAAATTAAAATATTAATCATGATGATAAACACTGACAAGATGATAACGGTGACTCAACTAATGGCTAATTGATAATCATGATAATAGTAAATCAATAATAATATAATAGAATAAACAAAAATAATAAGTATATAATATAATAACAATATAATTCATGGTTCTCTATATTAGTGATAATAAGGATAATAATGAATAATGATTAATAATAATATATATTAATAAAAAAAAATAATAATAGTAGTAATAAACAATGGAATAAATTGGTAATAGTAATAATTACGATAAATAAGATAATGATACTAATACTGATACTACTAGTAACAAAAATAATAATAATGATAATGACAATCATTGTTGTTACTATTGCATCTACTACTACTCACACCATTACTATCATCGTTATAGTTTTTCCTGATGTTGTTACTGTCAATTCATATTTTGTTGCTATCCTGATATTCGTCTCTTTTCATTGCTATCATTATCATGTTCGCTATGAATGTATTCATTGACCCTAACAATGTCTTTTGTTTTATGAACTATTGTTTATTATTGATTTTGTAAAAATAAATGAATAAATAGTTAAATTAGAAAAAAAATTGTATCTGCACACAAACATCCACTCACTAAACAGCAAGAAATGGTTAATTGTTTATTAAATTGTCTTCCATGTGGTAGGTGAAAGTGATTATTTTCATTGTTTTGTCAAGCATATTGGAAAAAAGATATCACCCATTATAATAAGTATTGTTCCATTCGCTGCCAGAAAAAATGTGCATTGTTCCTGTTTTCCATACAAACACTAGCTACTTAAACGGAAAAAAAGTAACGATTGTACATTAACTTTTCTCTCATTTCTTACTTTTAGCGTAAATCTTTTAGTTGTTGGAAAAGTCCTTTCTTTTGTTGTTTTCTGTTTGAGAAAGTTATTTCTGTACCTCTTATTATAAAAAATTGTGATTGACTTAACTAATATTAGGTTAAAAAAAACTATAGCGCTATTCTCATATCTTAAGCACATGCATTTTGTTCACTAAACAATAAAAGCTTATAATAGGTGACCATTCTTTTCTTTTGTTGATTGCTGTATTAGCGTTTAAGGAAATTATATCACTGGTCCTTTTGTTTCCACAGACATTGATTTGCTTAACAACATGAGCCAGTTCTTGTTAGTTGAACTCACATGGTATTTCTCACAAGTATAAAAATGAAGGTTCCTTTTGCTAATCATGAAAGCCATTTCTATTATTCCATCCCATTTGTGCACGTAGTTAATGGACATGATAATATATATAATAATATATATATATAATAGTATATATATATGTATATATATGTATACATATATATATTATATATATATATATATATATTATATATATATATATATATATATATATATATCTTCGTCACTTCTAGGAAGAAAAAGTGCGTTTTCTTTTTGTTTTTTTCCGTTTTCTTTGTCTCCTTAACATTCTCTGTCTCTCTGTCTCCTCCGAATCAGAAAAAGGTTTGGCTTTTGTCTTCTTAACCTGCTTTCGTACAAAAAGCTTTAGAATATTGCACTCACAAATAAAAAATATCTTTCAGCTCTTTATGTCACAGGAACCCGGTTAGGAGGAATTATAAAAATGGCTGTTACTTTCTCTTCTCATTTGTCGATCAAATTTCTCTTGAAAAGTATGCTTAGATGCGTGTGCTTGTGTATATATTAGCATGTGTGTGTGTGTGTGTGTGTGTGTGTGTGTGTGTGTGGTGTGTGTGTGTGTGTGTGTTGTGTGTGTGTGTGTGGTGTGTGTGTGTGTGTGTGTGTGTGAATGGGATTGCGTGCGTCTTTGTGTTTGCATCGAGAGAAAGCATGTATGTTTACATGTGTAAACATACATTTACTTAACATGTCTGTTTTCTTTAATCTCTTCTATCTAGCTAGCTAGCCAGCCAGCTAGCTATATATATCTAACAGTCTATCTACCTTTCTATCTAAATAAAATCTCATGTCGCTGCCATATGACTTACAAATCATGCCAAATTCCTTGACATCACAATTACTGATTCAGACGTCTGTTTTGACATTCTGCTTCAAGGCATTCCATCTAAAGGAGTGTAATGCAGAGGACGTTTTTCGCCGAGAATAATTTCCGAACAAAAAGTACTATTCGTGAAATTGGTTGTAATGACAAAGAGGTTCATAGGGTACAAGTATATATCTATATCTATTTCTTTATATATATAACTGTGTTGTGGGGGGGCGTGTACCTGTGTGTGTGTGTGTGTGTGTGCTCGTGTTTGAGTGTATTTTGATTGTGTGTGTGTGCGTGTGTGTGTGTGTGTGTGTGTGTTCGTGTGCTAATGTGTGTGTGTGTGTGTGTGTGTGTGACATTAAAGAGGAAAAAATATGACATACACTCGAACAGAAAGGACGGACAGTAATAACATAAAAAACACTAACCTTTCTGTTGGTTTAATTGCAAAATCATTGCCAGTACCTTTTTCTCATTGTCTTTCTATTTTCTTTTACTTGTCTTTTTCAGAAAAAAAAAAAAAAAAATCTAACAGTTCAATTTTTTTCGGTGAGGAAATGGTATAAAAATAAAATTTCACTGTGCATTGTGATGTGTGCTTGTATGCAAATCGATTATATAAACATTTTTTTTTCTTCTTTCTCTCTTTCTTTCTTCTCTATTCCTTATTCTTCCTCTTTATTATTTCTCACTGTAACACTCTTTCATTTCATATACTGTATCTATCTTTCTACCACTGTCTCTTTGCCAAAATCATTCGTATGCTGTATTTATCTTTCTACCATTCATCTTATTAAGAATATCTGCCTTTCTCTTTCTGTCCGTCTATCTAACCCCCTGTCTATCAATTTATTGTCTATTCTGTCGATTTTATTGTTACATTCTTTCCATTAGACACTATATATACCATTTATCTATTCATATATCTATCCCAGTCTCTCCTATTCTTATACAGTAATCTAGTGATTTATATATACACATATTGAATAATTTATTCGTCAGTTTTTCCTATATATATGATTATCTAATAATCTATTTATCTATATATATCCAGTTATCTATCCATCTGCTTATCCAGATATCCAGTGATCCAATTTTTACACATGTCCACATATCCTTTTATTCTATTTTCCTACGATTCCACAGATCTACCTGTACATTCAAATATCCATTAATTTTCTTTTTTTTCCGTACTAATTTCCATTTGCTTCCAAATATTCATTTATTTCACTCCTTAACACACCTGTTTTCATTGTCTTCTTCCACAAATCTATTTTCATTTTCTTCCATGTACTTTTATTTTCCTCTTACATATTTGTTTTCCCTTTCTTCCAAACATGCATTTATTTTCCTCTTTTACATATTCATTTTTATTTTCTTCCACATTTATTTTCCTCTTTTACATATCCGTTTTCATTTCTCTTCTCCCAATCTCTCTCTATCTCACTCTTCCACATATCCACTTACATTTTCTTCTTCCAAACATACATTCATTTTCCTCTTCTATCCGTTTCTTTATCTTTTCCAAACATGCATTTTTTTCTCTTCTCCATATCCGTTTTCATTTTTCTTCTCCCAAACATACATTTATCTTACTCTTCCACATATCCGTTTTCATTTTTCTTCTCCCAAACATACATTTATCTTACTCTCCATATCACTACACTCTCTTCTCTCTCTCTCTCTCTCTCTCTCTCTCATCTCTCTCTCTCTCTCTCTCTCTCTCTCTCTCTCTCTCTCTCTCTCTCTCTCTCTCTCTCTCTCTCTCTCTCTCTCTCTCTCACTCTCTCTCTCTCTCTCACTCCATCCTTCTCCCTGTCCGCCTGTCCTCTTCGCTCAACCTCACTTGCTGCTCCTTCTGACTCCTCGACCTTTCTAACATGTTTCCTAAGGGGATATTGCTACGTTTTTCTCCACTGAATTGACATATTTCTTCTCAATCTAGATTTCGAAGGTCAGTTTGTATATTCTTTTTAGTATCTTGGTGGTTTAGGCTCCTGTTGGTTTGATGTGGAATGTGGAATTGTTTTAGTGTTTGTTTGTTTGTTGATGTGTACTTGTTTTTTCTTTATTTATTTATTTTTTTTTTCTTTCTTTCCTTTGGGACTTTTCTAGAGACGTAGGAAGTTTGTGGTCAAGGAATGGTGTCTGAAAATAGGTCGAAGGCGAAAGAGGAGGAGGAGAAGGAGGATGAGGAGAAGCAGGAGGGTGGAAAATTGTAGGAAGTACTAGTAGCAGAAAGAATAGCAATAGGAGGGGGGGGGTATCCCGGGAGAGAAGAACTAGAAAGCGGAGAATCAGAAACAATTGGAGAAGGAAGAGGAGAAGAACCAAGAGGAGCAAGAGCAGAAGGAGGAGGAGCAGAAGCAGGAGGAGGAGGAGAGGGGAGAGGGGAGAGAGGAGACGGGAGAGGGGAGAGGGGAAAGGGCAAGGCGCGACAGGGGTCATGGAGGCAAGAGGTATATAACGGCGAGAAGAGGCCT